ATTAAAAAAAATGAGAAGTAGTTAAAGGAACCAAAAATGGATGATATCAACATCAACTTTCTTGAGAAATACTATTGTTCTGAATAATGAAAGACTCCCATTACCTGGATATTCTTCTAGTCTAGGAAAGAAGAAAGAATGCTAAAAAAGAAATTCAGCTATTTTTAAATTGCTTTTATTCTGATAGTACTTTGTTTAATAATTTTGCCCTAATGTCTTGAAGTAACAGGATTACCTGAGGTTTCTCTCAACATGACGGGAACATTGAGTTTAAAAGATTATTTTGATACTGATGCTGCATAAAGATAATTTCAAGCTTATTGTCACTAGGATTTTCCACTTTTATTCATTCTCTCAATAAACATTTATTGAATGCCAGGTACATGAAGATGCAAGGGGTTTTAGTGGGGTGGGAGATGAATACTGGTAAAGAACATCTATGGTTCTCCCATATCGTGGAGTGTCACACAAATAAATCATGACCTTACAGGATGTAGAGTAAGTGCTGTAACAGGAGCTTTGCTCCCAGGAGCCCAGAGTCAGGAGGAGTTGCAAGTGCTAATGCTGGCTGGCCATGAGAGGTGGTAAAACAGTGCGTTCACATGTGACAACATCTAGCCTTCCTTCCTAATGATGCTTGATAGAAAACCACAGCATCTGATGTAATGAAACCTAATGAGGATTCAGAATAATCTCCTTATGCTCTATGTAGGTCAACAGAATAAATGCTTATGTCATTTTAATTTCTGATCTGTGGTTCACACAAGACCTATGGAAATCCAAAAACCGGGAGGGATTTTCTTTTAGAAAATTATTTTAGTCTCTTTTAGGTTCTATAAGAGACAGAAAACTAAAATAGCTAACATAAGATTTAAAGGTAAGATGATGATTGCCAGCTACACTGAAAATGGCAAATTATTATTTTTAAAGCAATACAGTCCAACACATTTTTTTCTGCTAATTTTTAAACCTGCAAGAATTTTAAGGGAAGTCAAATGCATATAGTTCTGACTCATTTACATCCATGACTCATCAATATGTTGTTTTAAACAAATCATTGAATGTCCAAGGGATCTTCTGTTCTTAGAGAGGTGCATCATTTAACACGCAGAATCTTAACTTACATAGACATAAGTTTAACCAGATATGTTGAACCTGGAGTGCCTAGCAAGTCCCAAAGTGATGGAGATAAGTTCTTGTGCAACCTTTAAACATGGCTTGGATTTATCCTGGCATAACAAACATGCCAGAGCTAATCAGTTCCCACTCAATTCAAGAATATGACAAAGCTCCAACACATCTATTTAAAAACCCCAACAAAATGAAATTTCATTTCTACCAGCTCAGTTTCTTCACATATAATATTTTATTTTTGGCTTTCTGGCCTAGAGCTGATGGGAATTCTGCAGAGCTATCCATTTTCAGAAAGAAACAGTTTTAAAAAGTTTCCGTGAGAAGACACAGCTAAGAATGGTAAGAGGTATTTCCAGGGGTTCTGCCTTTAGCAGACAGTAACCTGCCTCTGGTGTGCATGTGTGTATGTGACAAATGAATAAGAAAAATAAGAACCTTAGTTAAGGGGCAAAGAAGCTTGAGTTTCTCACAGACCAAGCAGGATTTGGCTAGAGGCCCTGTTTTTCAGGAGCAATTTGACTTTGACATCACCGTCCTATAAGCTATCAAAGCATTTGGAAAAACAAACAAGCCAGACCAGAAAATTCACACACAAACACAAAGCTGAATTCCTCCGAAGAGAATGTTACAATACCATGAGGTGACAGAGCAAAAAAATTCCTCAAGGGCATCAAGCTCCTAAGCACTTAATTCCTCAAGATTTTTCTTATAGACAAATCTCATGATTGAGGGGAACACAATGAGCCTGTTTAATGTCCACTTCAATCTTTAGAATCAAATAGTAATTACCCAGGCAGTCCACCAAGGCCTTCATGAAACTCCAACCTAAGAGCAGAGTAGAAGAAAAGTACCCTGAGCAGAGGGAAATGTTTACATCTGGCCAGGAAGGACCTCCTCCCTCCATTAACTAGGAGCTCTTTCAAGCCCCACCTACAGCTTCAACTGCAAGAGTTGGCTGGGTGTTCTGGGTGTTCTTAGACTTGGATGCCTAGCTTCCATGTGAACACCTAGCAAAAAAGCTGAACATGTTATTCTCTGCTTCCCCTTCCACGTGACTCTCTCATTGCCAAAGTGGCTGGCAGGAGCTTCACAACCTAACCTTGACTTCTTGGTATGTATTACCCCAAGATACAACTTTTATTGCAGTCTTGCCTTTCTCTCAATCAAGTGCTAGAATCACAAAAAACTCACTTGAAAAGGACGGCTTCTCTTAAGTGGGCAATAGCTATAATTATAATTACTAGGAAACAGAAATTTATTCTAACAATAGGGTTTCTGAACAAATACACAGATCATGAGACACATTAATAACTAGGAAGAGAGGCAATAATTCATGCCTGCCATTCTGTACTCACATGCTAAAATAAGAGCCTGACAGAGAGCACCACCCATCCAACCTGCTTAGTATCTTTGCACCTATTGTTATACCTGCTCACTGAGCTCTGGGCTGCAAGGTGAGGTGATGAACATGTTCAAGCGTTAAGTCATTATCTAATCCCAACCTGCTCCTCCTGTGTTTCATCTGTTAAGGGTGATCATCCATCTAGCTGCCCCAGTCACATCCCTTTCCCTCACTGCCATTATTCAATTGGTCAACCAAGTCCTACGAATTTGTCACTTGTTTGTCCGTCCCCTACTCTTCCTTGCTATTTCTACTGGCTCAGTTCATGAGCTCTCCATCTCTTCCCCAGATGCTGGATTGAAACACCTGCTAACTAGCCTCCTTGCCTCTAGGATAGTCCCTCATCAATTTCTCCTCTGCTCTGCCTCCCAAGTTAGTTTCCTAAATATGTGCCTTGTAAAGAATGCAATCATACTCATATTTGAAGAAAACATTGGTGAATATTACTATTATCTGGGAGGGTAAAAAGTAGTTCTAAGCAGGACAGAAAACCTTGAAGGCATAAATATGGTCACTTAAAACATCTTCTGTAAGATATAAAACAACTGGAGAAAACATCTGTAACATATATATGTGGGGGACATGCTGATTTACCTAATAATTCTTACAACTCACTAAGAAAACAATCTAACTATAAATTTGAAATAACATCTTGGTTTTATCCCTAGGCCACACTAGGAGAGAAAAAAAAACTAATGTAAATAATTATAAAGCTGTGAAGTCACAAAGCGTTCTGTAAAGATTAGGTGTAGGAAAATTGGTTAGGTATCACCATTACCAAACCTGCTTGAAATGCTCTGCCTAGATTCAATTACATTACGCATCAACACTGAGATACCTTTAAGCAGTTGAAAAATGCCTGTGGTCTCTCTTGTTTTTGCCTTTGGAACACAGTGGAGCATATTTGCACAGAACAAATAACTCCCTGTAAAGCTGGAAGGGCCTCTTTGCTTGATAATTGATCTTTCAGCTTTGAGCCAGAAGGTTAAAGTCTTTCTGAAGAACATTTCTGAGTTCACGGAGCACCAAACCTCATTACTCTGTACCAGCCTGTCTGGGAGGCCAGAACAATGCCCATCAGGTGAAATGGACTAGCTTTTCCATTTTGACCTGAACTAAGTGATCAAATTACATCCCTGACAATAAAGCAGAATATCCACAGAGTGCACAACACTGGCATTGCTGACATATCTGCCAAAGACACTTACTATACCTAGGCATGCAGTCATCCAGAAGGAACGTGTCACAATCCTAAATGCAAGTAGTAAAGACAACTCACCTTTCAAATGAAACTGAGGTGAGATCTATTGCACCCATAGGAAGAGATACAAGATAAATTTTGTTACAAAAGCAAGTAATTCAAAGTGCTGATATAGCCTTTCATGCGAATCTGGAACAAAGGCCAATCATCTGAGACGACAAAGGAATCCCAGGCAAAAGCCCTAGATAGTATTAGTGTCCATTTGCAAAAAACAGGATTTAAAAAATGGAGCTAGTATTAATAGGTGGAATGCAATCATGAGTCAATCTGGGGGACACACAGGAGTTAAATCTAACCAAACAGTTTGGAAATTAGAAAATTCAACCAAAAATTTTCCATTCTTTAAAATGTAGAGCTGTATTGAGGAACCCACACATCAGAAGACCACTATCTTAAGACAGATGGCTAGTACCTGAATATATTACTTTTTGTTGTTCTGAATTGTCTTAACTTTGCGAGCACTTACTCATAATCTTATTGAGATTTATGGTACAGATATGAATTCAATTTTCAAACAGCTTAAAAAAAGACAGTTGGATTTTTAAATTTCTGGCTAGTGCAATGAACATGCAGAAATTCAAACCTTGATCAATGCTTTCTCAAAATCCATTTAATTCTATCATTTGCCTCTGCTACAATTAATAAAATATTCTCTCAATAAATCAAGGCTTACAAAGCCACTGTTCATTATTTCTGGCTGAAATGGGCTCAGAGGCTTCCGGAAATGAGTATCACACATGGAGATATATAATGCGATCACTTAGATGGCTTGCACATTGGCCAGGGGCAGCCAGTCTAGAACTCTACAACCTACATGAGGACAAAACCTGCCCAGAGATAACCAAACCCCACCACTAGGCCTCCTTCCCTTTGCTGGAGAAAAAGGGTCCTAACTTATCTGAAGCAGTGAGTGCCAGGACATGCTGTGAAGTTGCCATTGCTTGAAGTGTGTTATAGACAGACAGAGAGAAACTGTAGGTCAGAAGGACAGAATAAAAACTACTGAAGCAACACATAGTGACCTCGGCTTTGTCTCAGGCAGACCTGGGGGGCCTCATCTGAGGCCAATAGGTTGTAGGCTAAATTAACAAACAAAAAGCAAACAGCACAAAACCTACTTGAAACTAATATGATTCTTCCCTCAGGCCCCCGTTTTTAAACAAGCAAATTGTGGGATAAATAAATAAGCAAGCGGAGACTCACTCTGGGAAGCATAATGCCCCTCTGCAGCTTTGTCTTCATGCCCTTCGTATTCCCTGCTGGATAGTTGCCTGTTGGCAGTCTCCAGTCGATCTATGAACAAAGAGGAAATGATTACAAAGAAATGTATATGGATTACTTTGGGAGGCCGAGGCAGGTGGATCACGAGGTCAAGAGATCGAGACCATCTTGGTCAAAATGGTGAAACTTCATCTCTACTAAAAATACAAAAATTAGCTGGGCATGGTGGCGCATGCCTGTAGTCCCAGCTACTCAGAAGGCTGAGGCAGGAGAACTTTTTGAACCCAGGAGGCGGAGGGTGCGGTGAGCCGAGATCGCGCCATTGCACTACTGCCTGGACAACAAGAGTGAACTCAAAAAAAGAAAAGAAAAAAGAAATGTATATGGATTGAAGTCATCATCTAACTGAGAAATGAAATAGGTGCCAAGAGGTTGGGAGGAAGAGACGTTCAGGCGGGAACCCAAGAGCTAGGGAGGAAATGATGCTCAGGCAGGAGCCCCAAATAGAACAACTTGGGGACAGACAGTAACTGTGTCCCAAAATATCAAAAGAAAAGGCTTCAGATGCCATTGTGTCTTTATGCCATCTAATGCCAAAGGATATGCAACAGCAGCAGGCAGCTAGGGACAGGTACTGAGAAAAACCATCTCACTGCTTCCAAGGCCAGCAAACCTCTGATTTGAAGGGTTCACAAGGGCAGTCTCCTTGGCCTCAAACCCAGCCCTAGTCTAATCTTGATCATCGGATATATATTTTAGCTAGTGACAGCTCTCTGTATCTCAGAATCAAAGAAATGAAAATTAAAAAATACCCAAAAAAGTCAAAAGGACCTAATGCATGAAGACTGTACATAGCAGTTCTATGTTTCTTCAAACCACTTGGTAAATCTTTAATTATTCAATAAATAATCCAACTCAACAAGTATTCACTGGATGTAGATGACACTCAACCCAAAAGGGTTTATAGCAACAGGAAAGGTGGGATCTAGCTACTGGGTACTATCAGGATATTGAGTGTTTTGACATATGAAGCAACTTAAAATGGTTTGGCTGAAAGTGAAGTAACATTTATAGGTTAACTCATTGTGCACATTGGAGATTGCCAAAATCTAGCAGCAGGTGGCTCCTATCTTTGAGCAAGTTTATTGTCTACTCATTTCACAACTGTGGGGATTTTTTCACCCAGAGGAACAATGTCTAGCTCTGTCTTTTATGCTACACCTAGAAAGATTTAAGTGCTGCCTTTTTTTTTTTCTTTTAGATGGAGTCTCGCTCTGTTGCCCAGGCTGGGGTGCAGTGGTGCAATCTCGGCTCACTGCAACCTCCACCTCCCGGGTTCAAGCAATTCTCTGCCTCAGCCTCCCAAATAGCTGGGATGACAGGCTCCTGCCACCATGTCTGGCTAATTTTTTTTGTATTTTCAGTAGAGACAGGGTTTCACCATCTTGACCAGGATGGTTTTGAACTCATGACATCGTGATTCACCCATCTTGGCCTCCCAAGGTGCTGGGACTACAGGCATGAGCCACCATGCCCAGCCTAAGTGCTGCCTTTCAAAGAGTGCTATCAAATGACAGCCTGATGTGGAAAGGGTTGTGCATCCAACATTGATCTTTTCAAACATTCAGATTCTCATAGTCATGAATCACAGTTTAGTACTTTTAAAGCAAGAAGGAGCCACACACAGAATCGTTCCTTCAACAGACTCATGCATACAGGCTGTCACTTCCAAAGCTCAACGCTGCAATCTACAACCCACAAGGTAGAAATAACAATTCTGCTTTTTGAGCACCTCCTCCATTCCCCAGATGGTTGAAATATACAAGATTATCCAACACACATAGACTAGCACCTAGTCTACTTCTGCAAAGCACTGAGTGCAAAGCACTCTGGCCCTGAAGTTGTGCTTTTAGCTACACAGGTAGTTTAGGTAGAAAGAACATTAATAAACATGCCTCGGAGGTCTCTGTTGAAATCATGAAGTCTTCTAATCTCGCCTTCCAATTTGTTTCTCATCGCCTTGTCCAGTGACTCTCGCTTGGTGGTAGACTTGACCAGACTTTCATAGGCTTCCGAAATTCTCTGAAGTTCTTTTTCAAACTAAAAGAAATAACTGGCATTAAAGTGGTGCTTCTGACATTTTTGCTAGTGTCTTGGTAAAACGGAGTCTTAGACATTGCCAGTGTAAAGGCTGTATCTTCAGTGCAGCCTTTCTGCATCTTGTTTCACATGTACCAAATTGTATAATCGATTTCACTCCCTAACCCGCTCTCTAGATACTACATTAGGATCCTGTAAATTACAGGCTTACAAGTCTGGCCGAATGATCTGATGTCACCTTGTAAAAATCCCTCTGTACCAATATTAGAAAGGGGTAAATCTAAACATAACTTAAATCTTTTATACTTTTAATGGCAATTTATAGCTACTGTGATTATTCCCAGTTGACAACAGGAAAATATTAAAGTACAAAAAAAATTAAAGAACTATAACTAGAACCCAAGTTTCCAGACTCCATATACAGTGTTCTTTCCAGAGACAGTCCTATCTGTCCCCAAAGGAACATAAAATCCACTGGAGGAAAGGCCTCATTACTGAGTATTTTTAACTACTTTGTCTATGAAAGTAGCTATATGGTGCAGTGGCTCATGCCTGTAATCCCAACACTCTGGGAGGCTGAGGTGGGTGGATCACCTGAGGTTAGGAGTTTTAGACCAGCCTGGCCAACATGGTGATGGTGAAATCCCGTCTCTACTAAAAATACAAATATTAGCCAGGCATGGTGGTGGGCCCCTGTAACCCAGCTACTTGGGAGGCTGATATGGGAAGATCACTTGAACCTGGGAAGCAGAAGTTGCAGTGAGCAAGATCACTTCACTGCACTCCAGCCTGGGCAACAAAGAGAGATTCCATCTCAAATAAATAAATAAATAAATAAAAGGATTAATGGACATGTACCTAATCATAAACAAATGTATCACAGAAAACCTCTTTATATGAAGGTATAGATAGCCAAGAAATTAAAAACATTTTTAAAAATATTTCACTAGACCAAAAACTAACTGGGGAAGCCTTTAATCTATGGCACATATACATTGATAACAAGTAGCTCTATTCAAACAGGAATTTGATATAATAGTGTGGTTTTGATATAGAGATGAATAAATCCCATTGTATTGTTATATAACATAAATGCAAGAGAAAGGGTAAAGACCAAGTGAGGATGCCTGCAAACATGGATGGAGACTTAAGATGCTGCTAAGGTCAGAATCAAAGGTGAAGCTGATGGGGTTGAAAGCACTAGTGCCCTTCACTGGGCCGCAGGAGATCAGGACCATGATTTCAGTCCTTCCATAGGATAGCAATGGCACCAGGAGCCAGGGACCCTCTTTTCTGAGCCCCAATTGCCCAGATCAGAAAGTCCCTGCTGAGACTCCTATAAATAATACATATACAAACAGATATTCATTGTTTGCTTACATGTTAGGTATTTTTCCAGAAGCTGAGGATACAGAAATAAGGAAGGCAATTCCTGGCCTTTAGGAGCAAAGAGTCTTAAGTTGGCCTGTAAATACTTCAGAGAAATGGTAGTCCAGGGATGAGGGAAAGGTAGAAGCGGCAGGAGCTAGGGCCAAAAGGAAGGACTTTAAGTATGAGGAGGGGAGGCTTAGTGGGGGTGAGAGGTACTGAGGAAAGAAGGTTATAATTCTGATCTCATTCGAGTTTTTACAGACAAAACTAATGATGAGGAGGGCGGGATTTGATGGGAGAAGAGGTAGAAGAGACATCCAGGTAAAAAACTAATGTAAATAGCTCAATGATGACAAGAGGCTGAACTATAACACTAAAAGGACAAATTCCAAAGACACTAATGAGTAGAATCAACAGGTTTTGGTGACTAGGTGCAGGCAATAAGGAAGAAAGCAAGCAAAGACAACACAGACATTCACAGCTTAGAAGATGGGGTAATGCGACTTAACCAAGGTAAATGATTATAAGAGAAACAAGTTCACTAAAGAAAGAAAACTAGTTTGGGTTTGGAGATACGATGGTTAAGGAAGCTGCTGCACATATTAGCAAAGATTTCTAGTTAGCAGGTGAACATACAGGTCTAAATGCCAGGAGGGTGGCTGGAGTGTCCTCAGTGTACAGGTGACAGATGACATCAGAAAGCACAGGCCACTCAGGGAGAGAAACAGAAGATTAGAGGGCCAGGAAGGCATTCACCCCAAAGGAGAGGCTGGGCACAGGGAAAAAGACCAAAGCCAGTGGAGCCATAGGAGCCTAGAAGCCAAAAACTTAAAGGAGGAGAGATACTGTGGTCAGCACCCCCAGAGGTTACAGAAGAGCTAGGATATAGCTGAGAAGAGGCTGAGGAGCAAGCTGGAGAGCACGGGGGCTTCTGCTTAGCATCAACCAACTGGAGCTGAGCTGAGAAGATCCTTTTGGTACCACCTTATGTTCCCAAAGGCCTCTTTCTACCAGCGTTGGTTCTTCCGTGGTCCCCTCATTTTAACAAGGCCTTTCCGGTTCTTCCACAGATATCATGAACTGCTGGTAATGCAGCAGCACAGAGAACTGCATGTCCTGAATCCTGTTCATAGCCTTACCATGAATTATGATCCTGTCTTTAAATTTTATTTACAAAAGAGATGGCTTCCAGGCATACTAACATTTCTTTGCTCTTATCTATAAAGGGTGGCCTTTGCTTTCAGACAGCTGGGCAAGTCACAGGGATAGTCCCCATCAAGACCAAAGGGCATCACCAAGTCACCAGGGAAGCTGAGAGTATCACACTCTGAGGCATCCACCATGAGAGTGGTGTTCAGGCTTCCAGCCCAGGACAACTAGCAAGGCTTCCTTAACTACAGGCACAGGGACCCTTCCCTTGGTCTGATTTTATAGTATTTTTAAAAATCTGTTGTATTTCTCTCCCTGGAATTCTAATATGCATCTGCATTTTGCATCTCTGATTTGACTACTAACTCCTTGAGGGTAGAATAGCTCTTACTGTCCTGGAATTATGCTTTGCCCATGACAAAATACTGACTGATTAATTAATCTTTAAATGTAGAACTCCTAAAGACAGACTTGGACACTGAATCATGCATTCTTTCCTTTCACTCTAAGAATTTCCCTCTGCATACTGTAAAAGGAAACTTCAGGATCCCCATGATGATGTAGTTTACTATCTTAAATCTTAAAACAATCAAGACCTGACATGGTTATGTGCTTAGAAGGGACCTAGAGAAAAAACAAAGGACTTAGTTCAGAACAAGGTAATTCCTATGAGGACTGATAGCTGTAATGGTAGAGAAAGATTACTCCCCTTCAGTGTGTGCTATCGATATGGTTTGTCCCCAGCAAAACTCATGTTGAAATTTGACTCCCAATGTGGTGGCATTGGGAGATGGGGCCTAGTGGGAAGTGTTTGGGTCATGGGGGTGGGTCCCTTGTGAATGGCTTGGTGTCTTTCTTGCAGTAGTAAGACTAGATTGGTTTTTGCAGGAATGGATTAGTTCTTATGAGAGCAGGTTTTTATGAAGAAGGACATCCTCTTCAAGTTTTGCCTCTTCATACATGTCCCCTTCCACCTTCTGCCATGTTGTGACACAGCATAAAAGCCCGTACTGGAAGCCAAAAAGATACCAGCATCACGCTCTTAGGCCAGACACTAAGAATCCCTGCAATCACAGAAATACATTCAATGTCCCAGAGGCAGAACTACAAGCAGAGCAGAAAGCCCTGCATGACTTCCACTGGCACTGTTGTAATAAGCAAATGGACAGAGAAGGCCCTGAGAAAATCTCAGCCATTCTAAGTTCCAGATACTACTGGTTTTCTCCCTGAGCACCTTCATGTGTACCACTCAGAGATGCCCAGGACCAAAGAAAGGCCTGCTGTGCAAGCCACAGACTGCCCAATCAAAGCCACCTTTGTTTCACTCACAAAAGAGGGTCTTCACTAAAGCAAGCCCTGGGTAACTGTCAATGCTTGGCCCTCTCCCATCAAATGCCCGTCTATTCCCTGATAGCTTTTTGAGGCCAAGCCACTCGACAGTCTACAGTATGGCCCCGGTAGAAACTCCATCTGTTAATTAAGTTTCAGGGAAACTGGGAGGAAAAAGATGCAAAAAACATAACCAAAAGATAAAACTGAAAATAACAGCTCTTTCTGGGGATCCTCGACCATCATTCCAACATTAACAGTGATAATCACTACCTTGTGCCTCTTTGGAAACAGGGTCCTCATATCTAGGCTGGAATTTTATAGTCTCTGAGTTTAATTGTTCTCTTCTGCTGTTCCTGGCACAGTATGCATCGGCTAAACTCTGCAATTAAAAATTCATCTATTTTTAGTTCTGGCCTTACAATGCATCTCTGCAAGGGCCAAAGCATTCCCAATGCTGCAAGGAACTCAGATGGGATGATACTGTAACACAGGGGACAGAAGCAAGTTGCAGGGGCATCCCAAAAGGCGTGCACTGTTCCCTATTGAATGAATTTTTTCCAGGTCCTTGGGCTCTCACTCACCCAAGAATGAGTAGGAGAACCTGGTAGCAATGATATTGTTCAAGTAAATATTGGACCCAAAGAGCTTTGCAGAAAAGTGATTTATTAGGCAGAAAGAGAGAAAGAGAAATAGAGAGTGAGTGAGCTCCCACCTGTCATGGGAGAGGGTCCAGAGATGGAGTTCACACAGGTAAGGGGCAGGGGGACTTTAAATCTAGGAGTTATTTCCACCTCATTCATGTTCTTGTCCCATGAGAGGAGTTCTTTCAAACTTCCACTGGAGTGATTGATCTTTGACTTTGATATTGGATTGGCTGCCCTTTTTGCCAGCTTTCTAAACAAAGGAAGTTTACCTAGGCAGTCTACCTTCCCACGCGTGGTAAAGTTAGACAAAGAACTCTAGGCTCCTGGAGTGGGGGGAGGTGAATAGAGGTATGGCACTGGGAAGTTCTTGCCTTTGAAACCATGACCCTTGTGGACCCGGGAAGAGAAGTTAACATAGTCCTTCAATACTGTGGGCATAGCGAGGTCATATCCTACAACATCGTGCAGCAGGCCCACCCAAAACAGGGGTCACATCCATGCCAGAAGAACTGGCAGCTATCGTCGCCGAGAAGCAAAGTTGTCAGCTCAACTGAACACCCTCTACCCAGATTAAGGCTTAGGCAGCTGCTAAGAACACTGAATGGCAAGGCTAGGGGTGAGGGTAGATTTAGGACTAGGGTGATGTTAGGAATGCAACGCACAAAATGTTACGCCACAAAGTGCAGGCAACTCGTGTCTCTCGGTCCCAGTTGTCGAGAACAGCTGTCCAACTTGTGATGAGTATGGCAAGTATCCATCAAAATTTGAGGTTTTTAATTGATAATTCCATTTTTACATATGCTAGATCAATGTAGTCCATAAGTCCTCATATAATATCATGGACACGTTCTTGGAAACTGCAACTTTAAGTGAAATAACACACAGCAGGCCTCCAAATAACGTCGTTTTCTTCAACATCATTTCATTGTGATGTTGATGAGGAAAAAACTGGTTTTGCTTAAAACTGTAGTTTCCAAGAACCTATTGATGATATTAAATGAGGACTTAGTGTACTTGCAGAACAATTTATAACATTCAAGGGACTGAAAAAGCTTTGGGTTCCAGAAGGGATGCCACTTTTGATTAGTCTCCTCTTGCAGAAGTCATCAAAATCCTTTTGGCCACAACTTTTAAGAACCATTCTCTGTGCAGGGATATTGACACACTGGGAGGTTGAGCCATTTTAGTTTTCAAAATGGAAATATACGTCAAAATCAAGAAAGAGATGTATGTTATAGGTAAATAAAAAGTACATGTTAATAAAAAGATAATGAAAAATAACAAGATCTCCAATTTCTGCACCATTTGTGTATCTCTTCAGCAACACCCATGAGAAAAACCCCAGCATCAAACTCTGCCTTCAAGTGGGTCTGTATAGCTTCTTGACGTGTCTGCCTTGGAGCTTCATTAGGAGAAGAAAGAAATGCTTGTTTCCCAAGAAGTGCTGAGTCAGCGCTTCCCAATTTTCAGCCGGTACCAAAAAAGAAGCTGCCCAAAAATGTCAGAGGCAAGATTGGACCTGTGCAGTGTCTTATAGGCTGAGGGCCATGAGACAACATGCTTATTTCCCAACTTCTAAGGGTACAAGAAGGGGCAGGAGTGAGGCTGCAATCTTTAGGCAGCCCTTATTTGTTTCTGGCTCTCATTTTCCCCCTTCAATAAAGGCAGCCAGAGCTCCCTGAGCCAAGTCTGGTCTTGACTCCAGGGAGCTCCAGACCTTTTCAGCAGAAGCTCTGCACAAACATGCTGGGACAGATTGTCTGTGAAGATATGTACCATCAAATCCACTACTCCCTGATAGCCCTCAGGAAGCAAGTAGAGCCTACTACTTTAAAACCCTTGACCAGCAAAATGACCAGCTTCACCTGTGAAATCAACACTAACTCATCAACACTAAATGGGCCAGCCGGTGCATTAATTGTCACACACAGCCAAAGTGACAATGTTCTTGTAGGCAGGTGGGGTTTATACTCCTACACTTTAACTTTACAGAAGCCCTTTATTCCCAAGGGAAGAGCCTGGCACTTAGACTCTTAAAGGATCACCACTACTACTCATGCCTCCTCACCCTCAAAAAAAGAAACCCGAGTGCTCTATGGTTGTCCTGCCCTAAAACATCCTATTACCGTTGCCCGCCCCCTTGCATCCTACCTGTAGCACATCAGATGCTGACTTATGAGTCATCATGAAATCACTGCCCAGCAACAGCTTGTTCTTGTTGGACGTTCCCCTATTTACATTGGCTCTCAGCATAAATCTCCAAGAATAATGGCTGCTATACATTTAAATATTCCAACAGTAACTACACAGGCTGGAATTACTCAGCATCTCCCCACCTGATAAGTCACAAGCATGCAGAAAGCACACAATAACTCATACTCTTGACCCTCTCATGTTGAGGCAAGACTGCTTTATGCAGAGACCAGCTAATGAAATGAACATGACAACACAAGGTTCCTGTCTGAGATTCCCACATTTAAGAGAAAATTTGGTATCTCTCACTTCATTTTCCTGTGGTTTTATTTATGTTTTATTTTTGAGACAGGGTTTCACTCTGTCACCCAGGCTGGAGTGCAGTGGAGCGATCTTGACTCACTGCAACCTCTGCTTTCCCAACTCATGTGATCCTCCAAGTAGCTGGGACTACAAAGCATGGGCCACCATGCTTGGCTAACTTTTGTAATTTTCGTAGAAACAGGGTCTTGCCATGTTGCCCATGCTGGTCTCAAACTCCGGGCTTAAGCAATCCACCTGCCTCAGCCTCAAAAACTGCTGGGATTACAGGTATGAGCCACCACTCCCGACCTCCTCTGTGTTATTTACTCTGCGTGTTTCCTCTTCTCCACTTGTACATGTGGGGAAATCCTACTTAGCCTTTGAGTCTCTGAGGGCCACATCTGCTATTCCTACAGTAGACCCCTCATATTCTTACTGCAGGCATTAGCTTATGCAACTCTCTCCCCTTTTTGGAATGTAAGCTCCTCCAAGGCAGGAACTGGGTCATATTTATTTTCATCTCCCAAAAGCCTTGCACAGGGCCTGGTATAAAAAGAAGTCTAGTGCAATGTTGGCAAAGCAGTCAGTGCCTCAACTCCCCATGACCAGGTAAAGAATTTTGTCTCCTGCCCATTCCCCAGGGATGTCACGCACCTTGTGGAGCTTGTCAGCATTGTCGTAGTAACCCTGAAGTTCCTGGTGAAGCACCCGGTTCTCCTCTGTCAATATCTCCACCATTTGCTGGGCTCGCTCCACAATTGCAAAGGCATCTGGGCCAAGCTGTTGGCTGGGGGAGGCGGCAGGCGGGGGCTGTGGAGCACCCAGGGCCATCGGGGGTGGAAGTGGCAGGGAGACGGAGTGCAGTGGCCCGCTGACGGAGGAGGTCTGGGAGGACATAGGGCTGTGCTGCTGCATGGTTGACGGGAACGGAAATTGGCATGGGCGGCTGCAAGGCAAGGGAAGGTAGCAGTCAGAACCAGGGGAAATGGTGGGAGCAGGAAGGAAGGCTCAACAATACTGGCACTGTTGATGGCTTCCACGGTCAGTGGCCATCAAGGCACTTCCCAGTGGGAGGTATTCACTGTGCTACCATCTCAATCAGCACTGTTCCGGCTATTGGTGAAAGAGCCACCAAGAGAGACCAGGTCCTTGCTCTCAGACATTTACATTCTAGGCAGACAGACAGGCAAGCCACACAACAAGAAAGCCAGGTATCAATATGTAAACAGTACTCTCCAAAGAATAAGGTAGAGTGATGTGACAGGGAATGACCCCATGGCTACCTCCTACTCAGAGGGCAGAGAAGGAGTCTCTGAGTAGGGGTGGTTTGAGCTGAAGTCAGACTGAAAGACAAGTGGTTTGGATGAAGCCGGTAAAGAAGTGGGGGAAAGGAATATTCTGGGTAGGAGGTGTCAGCTAGCACAGTGGTCCCCAACCACTGGGCCATGGACCAGTACCCATCAGTGGCCTATTAGGGACTGGGCCACACAGCAGGAGGTGAGCAGCAGGTGAGTGAGCGAAGTTTCATGTGTATTTACAGCCACTCCCCATGGTTCACATTACCACCTAAGTTCTGCCTTCTGTCAGCAGTGGCATCAGATTCTCATAGGAGCATGAACTCTTGTGAACTGTGCATGCAGGGGATCTAGGTTGTGTGTTCCTTATGAGACCCTGATAACCTGTCACTGTTTCCCGTCAACCCCAGATGGGACCATCTAGTTGCAAGAAAACAAGTTCAGGGCTCCTACTGATTCTACATTATGGTGAGTTGCATAATTTTTTTTCATATATTACAATGCAATAATAATAGAGACAAAGTGCACAATAAATGTGACGCACTTGAATCATCCTAAAACGACCCTAAATTCCACCATCATCTGTGGAAAAACTGTCTTCCACAAAATGGGTCCCTGGTGCCAAAAAGGTTGCAGACACTGAGTTAGTGCACTGGGCCTGAGGCGGGAATTAGCACTGGCACAAGCAAGTAGTATGAGGCACTGCCAGCAAGTAGCAGTGCAAGATAAGCCTAGAGCAATGGGCAGGGGCCACAGCAGACTTCACCTTAGAGTGTACAGAGGCCAAGGGAGGAGCTGCCTCTCCTGTGGTATGCACAGAATGCAGCGCATTGATGGCAGGCACATACACGTGGAGCCCAGTGAGGCCCAGGTGTGGTCTAGGTGAGAACTGAGGAGAGTTCAGAGTAGTGGCAGAAGAGAAACAGGGATTGGGATTTGTTTTGTATATATCAGGGATGAGGAAAAGGGAAGACGGGAAAATTAAAAATTACTCCTAGATTTTGGGCTCTACACAAATTGATAGGGGCACCATTTAATGAAATGGGAAGTCTTGGGAAGAAACTGATTTATTTTGCTGAAGTAAGGGAGGTCTAGAGCTCAAGAGTCTAATTTTAGCCGTGTTAAAAACACACACACACACACAAGGGTGTCCCTTCATGCTCAAATACCTGGTATTAGCTCCTGTCTTTGAGATCATGAATTTCCTTCCCCTATCCCCCTTCCTAACAATTCCATCCGAACTATTCAGTTAACCTGTTTCCTAAGAACCACTGTATTTTCTTTCCACCTAAGCCAAGGGCTGCTAACGGCATTTAGAAATATAAAAAGTATGAACCAAAAAGTATCTGAGACAGAGCTCAATCAATTTAGAAAGTTTATTTTGCAAGGTTAAGAATGTGTCCATAACACAACCTCAGAAGGTCATGACCACATATGCCCAAAGTGGTTGGGGTACAGCTTGGTTTTATACACTTGAGGGAGACATGAGTTGTCAATCAATATGTGTTTTGGTTCGGTCTGGAAAGGCTGGACAACTACAAGTGGGAGTGGGGGCTTCTAGGTCATAGGCAGATAAAGAGAAAATTAGTTGCATTATTTTGAGTCTCTGATTAACTTTTCACTGAATACACAATTTACATATGAGAGGAGGGTAAAGGAATAGTCACTTATGCCTTAGTCTGGCTTAGTTAAACAGTAGGTCAGAGTAAGCAATCACATATGCATTTGTCTCAGGTGAGCAGAGGGATGACTTTGAGTTGTGTCTGTCCATCGTCCACAAGGAATTTTCCTTGTGGGCAAATTGTGAGGGAGGTATGTACCTTTTTTTACCTTGGTAGCTATCTTATTTAAGAATGAAATGTGAGGTAGGTTTGCCTGATGCAGTTCCCAGCTTGACTTTTCCGTTTGGCTTAGTGATTTGGGGTTCTAAGATTTATTTTGCTTTCACATCCCCCTCCCTTTTATTTTTCAAATCTTTCAGAAAAAGCATTTTTTAAGAAAATGAATGAGCCTCTGGTCTCAAGTTTTTTCTGATCTCTCATGACTAGGATGGTTTATTCCCAGAAAGATAGGTGCCAGGTTATTAGGAAAGATCATTTTTAGTAGGTTGTGAAATCTCATATCCTATGAAGAGAAAATAGGGAAGAGAGAAAAACAAACAAGAAAGATGAAGAACAATCCTGGAAATTTGATATAGGCCATATTACTCTGAAGTCCATACATCAATAGGCGATATCAAAGTGGTTTATGTATGTAAATAGGTTGCTATTATTTTCTTCTGAAGCTTAAGTTGTCTAGCTTCAGTTCGCAGGGCTTTAAGAAAGCACAGCTTCATTTTTAGGATTTTCAAATCAAGAAAAAAATGGGGGGTATAAAATAGGACAGGGAGGAAAGAAAGAAAGAAAAAGAAAGGAAGGAAGGAGGGAGGGAGGGAGGGAGGGAGGGGAGGAAGAAGGGAGGGAGGGAGGGAGGAAAGAAGAAAGAAAAGAAAGAAAGAAAGAAAGAAAGAGAGAGAGAGAGGGAGGGAGGGAGGGAGGGAGGGAGGGAGGGAGGGAAGGAAGGAAGGAAGGAGAAAGAAGGAAGGACGAAGGAAGGAAGGAAAGAAGGAAAGAAAGAAAGAAAGAAGGAAGGAAGGAAAGAAAGAAAGAAAGAAAGAAAGAAAGAAAGAAAGAAAGAAAGAAAGAAAGAAAGAAAGAAAGAAAACAAACAAGTAAAAACTTTACTTTGGAGACTTGTAGCCAGGATAAATTTTAGAATTCAGTCCAAACTATAGAAAATAATAAAAATTGGGCTGGGTGCGGTGGCTCATGCCTGTAATCCCAGCACTTTGGGAGGCCAAGGCAGTGGATTACCTAAGGTCAGGAGTTTGAGACTAGCCTGGCAAACATGGGGAAACACCATCTCTACTAAAAATACAAAAATTTAGCTGGGTGTGGTGGTGTTCTCCTGTTATCCCAGCTACTCCAGAGGCTGAGACGGGAGAATTGCTTGAGCCTGGGAGGTGGAGGTTGCAATGAGCTGAGGTTGCCCCATTGCACTCCGGCCTGGGTGACAAGAGCAAAACTACGTCTCAAAAAAAAAAAAAAAAGAATAATTTTAAAACATAAGACTAGAATAATAGGTGTAGTCTAGTTTATTTTGAAGCATAAATTTTCACTCTCCATTTTTGCTAAAGACAAATCATAAGACAAATTTATATGTAAAATAAATGTTAGTTTTACTATATGTGGCCTGAGTGGAAAAAAAAAAACTATTTGCCATATAGGCTCTTTTCTTTTAATTGACTTTACTGGAACTTTATTCCATAAGAAATCTCAGATGACTGCAATGCTTTGAACCCAGCCTGTGCCTGCAAATACCTGTATTAATTAGGTGAATTCCTTGCCTCAAGGTCCCAGGAAAACTTAGGGCTTCTGGAACTGTCAGAAAGTGACATTCTTTATTTACCGCAGGTCAGGAACCTGTACAGGGACTGTGTAGACAAGGTGTGAAGCCAGCTTTCCCAAAGGGCTTTATTTGGCTCTATTAGTCAACTTCAATTCCTTAAAACAATCTGTTTATATTTAAAAGTATGCCATTCCAATGAAAGCCTACATAAAGACACTGGTAAAATAAACAGTGTCTCCAATTGCGTCCTATTACAAAAAAAAATTATTCTTACTGAACTTATGCAAATAAGTATACTGCTATAAATCAAATATACTTGCAAATAATTTTCAAATTCTTGAGAAATCAGGTAGAGAGAAATATGCTTCAGATTTTGCTCACAGGAGTATAGTTGACCCAATTGTTAAAAGCTGTAAACAGCTCAAAGAAAATGGGTTTTCTGGACTCAGAAAGAAAACCCATTGCTTCTTTCAAAAAAAAAGCAAAAACCTATGTTCTTTGAGAGAGGAAATTTAACTTCCCAAACAATAAGCCCTAATAAAGACAGCATGAAGCCAATTACATGTGTCTTTTAAAATTCTGTAAGCAAATTTATTAAATTTTAGTCATCTTGACCATAAGATATAATTTCCATAAACCTTTTAAAACCTTTATAACCTTTTATTAAGGAGTGGATTAATGCTCAAAAAAAATCTTGTTCATCTGACACTGGGGCTCATATGCTGGTCTTGCAGCAGTGTGCATTTGGTATTAATGGCTAATTTATAGAGAAACTGAACTAATTTTATCTCTCAACATCAGCCCTTACAGTCTCATGCCCACCTTTGCACAACAGTCTCTGGGTCTTGAGGAGTTAGACAGTTTTAATTTCTGGCTCTGTGTCTCACAAACACAGTTTATTTTGGTTGGCATCTTCTACCGGATCTGAAGATGAAGTTTTAACTACTGTCAGGATTTAAGACTGAAAAGGACTTGGTGTCCTGTTTAGACTCAGAGGTCAAAGCTCTGTAACTTAATGGCACAAGGGCTTTAAAAGCAAAATACAGAAAGTTACATAGATGTGATAACTTTAATTAAAAAAAACAATTTTAATTTCAGTTTTTTTCTAAGCAAACCAAAACTTAATAACAATGGCACAGGAATTATTTCAATAAAATATAAAATGAGTTCGTTAGGCCAGTTATCAAAAGGCAAAAGAAAAGACCTTCTGCAGTGCCACTTCTATTCCCTGTGGGGTGTTCATTTATTATCAATAATCCTGCAA